CCCCTCCCTCTCTCCCATCCCATCCCTCCATCACTTCCATTCCATTCCATCCCTCCTATTCCATCCCTTTCATTCCATCCCTTCCATTCCATCCCTTCCATTCCATCCCTTCCATTCCATCCCATCCATTCCATCCCATCCATTCCATCCCATCTATTCCATCCCATCCATTCCATCCCATCCATTCCATCCCATCCATTCCATCCCATCCATTCCATTCCATTCATTCATTCATTCACACACACCACATGCTGCAAAAATTTACTGATATTAAGAATCCATCATTGCAGTATGGCTTTAAAGACGTATGCAGACTGGGAGGATGCTGTGAGAGTCGCCCAGGTCACCTATGACCACTCGCAGGCTAAGATGGTCACAAAAACAAAGACGGTACGGAAGTCGAGGAAAATGGCTTTCCTCTCCGTGCTCTCACTGACCAAGGGTGGCGTTTCATCAAAGCAAAGCATCAACAAGCACCCCACTTCTCCGCCAAAGAGGATAAAACAAAGAGTGAACAAATCCGCAGGAAAGATGTGGTATGTGTATATTTATTAAGGTGATATTATGAGGAAAAGAACCCCGAATGTTTTACAAGCATCGTGAAAAATTGTAATAGACGTCCTCTATGATATTTAATCTTCCCTTGGTGAACAGATCTATGACGCCGATCGTCAACAGATTTTCCTGTGCTCTTAGCACAAAAGTCATTAAAGTGAATACTTGCTTTTGCAACTTTAACTGGCTTAATATTAAATTGTGCGCACGGTTGGGCATTAAATGTGTTGGTTTCTTACCTTTTCCTGTCCAGTGTGAAACAGGGAAGTGCGTGCTGCATACAGATAATAATTGATACTCCACTCGTGTCAACAGTTTGCCTGCAACTTCCTTCTTCAACCTCGATTCTAGCTGTGAAAGAACTACTTCAAGATAGGCTTGGAATCAGTCCTGAAAAACAACATCTTTGTACGAAGAGAGGATTTGAGGTCAGTGACAAAAACACAGTATACCATGCAATTAGTGCAGTTAGCAAATAATTTCGGTTTAGATCACTTTGAGTTTCTATTTTCAATAACTTCAGTATTTCCTATGCAAGCTGCACGAATTAGATGGGGTGTTATGTCAGTGGATTGAATATTTTTTGACTTAATACAATCAATTCTATTCAAACTGAAGTAGGCCTTTGGCTTCTAACAGCTGTTGCCATTGTGTAGCGGGTGCTCTATATCACCTGTGCATAAATCACATCTTCAATAAATCTTTAAATATCTTGCCGTCCCTATTTATTCAATGTTATCATGGCCTACGTGACAGTTGGTCTTTTTCGTGTGAACTGTCTTTTTCGACGGTGGTCTTGCAATCCCGCTACTGTTTATTGTTCTAAATGCACCCTCAACCCATTAAATTTTATTCGCAAAGAAACCACAGGAAAAGGTAGTAAGCTTGTACCCAATTGCTGGTCTAGACTTATACCCTACTCTGCTGCCAAGGCCTTCTCACGCGCGTATATAAAAAAAAAAATTGGACTTGCAGTGCCTTGAATCAGCTTTTCGAGATCACTGAATCCAGTTACGGTCACTTTACCTAGCCGAATACAAGGCTTGCCCGGCAATGCCCGCCTTTGTTCTCCCTTGCGTCAATAGAAGCGAGCCAACCCGCACATTCGTATTCGGCTCGGTAAAGTGGCCGCTTTTTCATACAAAGGCGTAGCAAGTCCAGGTTTTTATATACGTCCATGGGCTATCTAGAATTACCCAGTAACGTGCCTTCTGGAAAGCCACAAAGCTTCAAAGAAGTCCAACAGCATTTACAGGGTCGTTTATGGGTCACAGGCAGGGTCTGGGCAAGCTAGGCAGCGCTTGTGTGAACAACCTTGATGACTGCCATCTGGAAGATGTTTGTACACATTCCCATGGGAATTGGCCAGACCCCAGCTCGGTTATATTTTTTCTGGCTAAGGGGAAGCCCCTATGTTTACGGTGACTAAACCAGGCAGTTCGGCATGAAGGTAGGATATGAAAGGAGGTGATCATAGTTGGCCGTAAAATTTTCTTTCATCAAGTAATTAGCAGAAACTCCGTCTAAAAAAAGACGGTGGGCGCTCCACGCAGGGTTTCAAAAGTAATAATAATAGCTACATATATTTGTTATTTCTGGAACCAGCTCTGTGACGCACTTTCACTAGCGGATCACAGTATTCAGCAAAATGCCAACATAGAATTGCGCCTTGTCTCCGGCTTGATGGGTGGAACACGTTAGTATCCATTTACATTTTTTCAGTGTTTGCTTTAAATTGACTTTTAATGATTAATTTTGCTGTCAGGATACAAATTAGTTGTATTTTGAAGAGTAAGGGCACATCTCTTGCTTCAGAATATGCAGACATCAGACGTAATATGTTCAGCCTCCCCTGGAAAAGATGTTGTGTATAATTTAGTTGTTGATCAATGTGACAATGCAGGGAAGCAAAAAGACAAAGCAGAGCAGCGGTCACCAGATTTTTCGAGTAAAGAAAGAATCCCTGATCATGGAAGACAAGATGATACTCAGCAAGACCCAACTGCACCTGATGAACAACCATCATCCTGTACCAGCAACACATGGGAAAACACCGTCATGCAGGGCCACTCAGAAGGCATCACATTTGGGGAAGTACACTCACGTACCAATGTCTATGGTATGTATGTAGGGCCTATGTGTGCTTAAATTTAAAGATCTAAATTTACATAAGATGTAATACAGGAGAAATTATCGTTCACTAATTGATAGAGTTCGTCCGACATTTGAATTATTGCAACTGTCAAGTGCACTATTTCGATATCCAAAATAGGAGCTATCTGACGTATAATATGACCATAAAAATGTGGAGAAACTGAAAGGCATTTTCCGGTAAAATAATTTCAACGGCCAGTTTCCTTTGTACAGTAAGCAATAAATGTGCCTCTAAAATAAGCATGAAGCTTTATGATTATGACCACGTGTTGGCTACTTATTCAAGAAAAGTTATATCTGTTTCTGAACCACACGATTTTGTGGTCGCACATCGGGAGGAAACAAAAAATTAATTTTATACAATTCTTCAACCTCAGAGCAACACTCTTTTGCACAGATTACTGAAGCTAAATAACTATTATTTCAACAGCATTACCAATTACTGCATGCGTTTCAAGAGATGACAGGATCGATGATTATTTGACAACAGCCGTAATCGATACCCTGAAACTACTGGCAAGTCAGTCTGGAGTGAATGATGTGAAAAAAATGTTCAACGACGTTTTGGAGGCATGTGCCGGAGAAATGTATCGAGTAGAGTTTGGGCCCTTGAGGTTTATTACGCATGTCGAAAGTCGTGCCGGCCTTGAAAAACTGTGGGCTATGTTCTCCACCGGGGAGCTCGCGCAGAAGCTAACTAAGGTCCTAATAACAGATGAACTTACAACAGAGGAGAAAAGTAGTATCGTCATTCAGGTAGAAATACTTCGAGAACATTACGAGGAGGGATGCCAATTCTTTGAAGAATTACCAGAAGGTACAAACATATATTTTGCATTACGCGTGTGTTGCAACATTTTAGGACAAGTGACATTGGTTATTAGTATCAATTGAAAACAGAACCTTTGATTCAGAAGGAGATGAGTCAAATGGCATTGGAAATTTCGTCCCAGTATGTTAGACTTTCCAATTTAATTTGCGTTTCGAGTTCTGTTTTTCAAGCTCTAATTTGTTTCCATTTTAGAGACTACTTCGGCGGATCAACCGGTGCATATGTCTGAGTGGTCCAAATACGACGTGAAACACTGGCTAAAAACTATTGGTGTATCAGATGTGGTCATTGATAAAGTATTCGACGAGGCAATTGACGGGAGGGTGTTAATCTTGTATACATCAAATGATCTGCAAGAAGATTTCAACATGAACAAGCGAGACTTACGTCTCATTTTGTACAAACGGGAAGCCTTAAAACGCCAACCCAAGTTGAGTCCAAACCCAAAAGAGAAAGAAGTTGTTGAGTACAAAGCAGAACGTGCACTGGTTCAAGTACATCCGATTCAGACATCCCCAAGCCCATCTGACACAAAAACAAATCAAACTGTAACCGATATGCCAGAACTGTCAGTTCGGCCTAAAATACCAAAATCCAAAGCGATATCTTTACTAAAGAGGGGGCATCTGGAGACAAAACACACTCAACCAGTTCAACGTCTTCATCAGAATATCGCTAAGGTACCCAACGTTCAAGATGACCCCTTAAACCCTGCAAAAGGATTTGAACTTTCTTTAGATTTACCTTCTGAATATAAAGGAGCCCATGTTTCACCACAAAGACTATTGACAGCCAAAAGTGGGCAAGATCCTCTTGAGGTGACTCAAAAGATGATGGAATTAATTTCACTAGCTCCTCAACCATCTACAGACAACCAACAACAAGATGTTGCATTCATGATACTTGGCAAATCTCGAGCCCAAGAACAGGGGTCAAATCCTTCCTTACAGGTCAATTACCCAGAACAATATCGCGACGAAAATGGAAAATTGACGCCAGGGGATCATGAAGCAAGCTCAATTTCGCCTACTACACTGGATGCATCACCGAGAACAAATGTGGAATTTGACGATGCACAAATTCATGATGACAAAAACTCTGACAAGGTAAAAGAGCAAGCTCGTGATCAGGGAACACCATCACAAGCGTGTCGAAACGCAGCATCGTCCAGCAAATTTGCTTTGCCTGTAACAAAGTTCAGTCAAAGTGACGAAGCTAAGGTTCGCTTACTTCTTACAGGAGATGAACGTGGAGAGCTTTCCCAATCGTTATACTCCGTTCTCGTAGCAAATAAGCTGGACGCCCCAAGTGAACCTACTGAATCTAGAATTGACATCATTGCCCAACAGTTTGAATTCATCAAGTCCATCAAATGGACAAGCGTCTTGGACTTTGATTCACAGTCTCTGTCGGATGGACTGTGTAAGCTCTACCATGAGAATAGAATGGTCACTCTTCAACAACCGGACTTGTTCAAAAACATCGAGTCAGAAGAAGATCTGCGAACCAGTATCGGATTTCCTGAAAAGACACTTTGGCTTTTCGCTAACGGTCGAGAGGACAACCCAACCATCGAGAGCCCTCCCATGGATCTGCAAGAATGGAACAAAGAACGTAGCCGAGATGTAGAAGCATCAATCTCTTTCTTCTCTCAGCCTTCGGTTATACCAAAAGGACGTGCTGCTATTGTGTTCTTGCTCCTGTCCGATCAGGACCTGGGAATCGTCTGTGACATTTTCAGAAAAATGTCTTCATCTTTTCAAGGCATACAAAATATCACATGTATCGCTGAAGATGAGAGTGTTTATGCACAGTTTGTAAAAGGTGTGGAAAAGTGGTTTAGCAAGGCTGAAATCGATGAGAGGAGTGTGGTTGGACTGAAATGGCAAGATATCAACCGCATTGTCATGCGAATGAACGGTGTGAACAAAATCGAAGCCTACGAACTCCCTACACACATTCCAGAAAAGTGTTTCCTTTCTGAGAAACAAAAGGACGAATGGAATGATATAACCGTTGTTTGCAAAAATGAGTGCGAAAACACCGATATGAACGAATCTAACCCGGGTTATCGACGGTTTGCAGAAAAGAAAGAATTGAACTTTTATCGCGGTGCCAAAGTTGACTGGTGGAATTTTGCCATCGGAGAAAAAGAAATGAATCTTCATAGACGTTGCGGCCACGTGCTGAAGCGAAAAGGATTCGGAGACGTACTAAGGAAAGTCCGTAAACCCCTGGACAGTTCAAATACTGAGGACAGTTTAATTGTCACTGTGACACTCCTTCATCAGCCAGGTGCCGGGGGTAGCACGTTAGCACGCCATATTTTGTGGGAGCTCCGCCAAGAATTCCGTTGTATTGTCGTCAACACGGTCACTGGCAATACTGCAAGTCAGATAATGGAGGTGAGACGGCATGGATATGAAAAAGGTTGCAATCAGAAAATCCCTGCTGTATGTGTACTCGTGGATGACCTCGATGATGTTGAGCTTCTAGACTTGATTGATGAGGTGAAGGAAGTTTCTAGAGATATCCAGCTCGATGGTGGGGCAGTTTGTGTCGTCCTGCGCTGTAAGCGTTGTGCGGAGCCAGAAACGTTAACAGACGGTGAAAGGAGAGAGTTGTACATTGCTTTGACTCAAAAGCTTGACGCCCGAGAAAAGGAATGGCTGGAGCGAAAGTACCGTGAATTACAATTAAAGGAGAAAGAATTACAATCTACCGAGTACAAACCTGAACATCTCCTCGCATTTATGGTGATGCTGAAAGAATTCGACAAGGACTATATAACTCATGTTGTGTCGGAGATTCTTGGTGGAATCTCTGAGAACGAATTCAAGTTGATAAAGCTATGTGCGTTTCTGAATTCCTACAGACCAGAGGCCGCCATTCCTATTTCCTGTTGCGACTCAATGATGGACAGAAAGATACTAGTCAGTGGCAGAACGCGTGTACACTCGAGACCCTGGGAAGGTTCAGTGTCCTCCTCGTTCAAGATCATGGTGGTCGTGGAAAACAACGAACTTAGGATCTTCCATGAGAGAATAGCAAAAGAAACTTTGGAGCAGATCCAGATGGTTACAAATCAGTCCCTTACAGAGGTTGCACTGGAGTTTTTGAATTGTGAACTGTTTAGTTCGTGGTCATATTCCAAAGAAACCCTCGTTAAAGCAACGCATGACCTACTTGTCAGGAGAAAAAGGATCCGATTCGGTGATGACACCGAGACAGACTTTGCGGTTATCATTCAAGATATTTACGAGAATCATGGACCTGAAAAAGCAATCGAGATCCTCCAAGTAGGCTTTGAGAAGCTGGAAGATGCATTCATCGCTCAGCAGCTTGCGCGACTTTGTCTTAAGGAGCACAACATTGGGATGGCACATATCTATGCTGACAAAGCAGTGACGCTTGAACCCCAAAACTGCTACTTCGTTGATACTAAGGGCAGAATTTACAAAACAGAGATGTGGGATATCGTGTCAAAGCGTATGGAAGAACAGCAAGTTATCGATGATAAAGAATGCGATAAGTTACTTTCCCTTGCATACCATGCAATGGACGCCTTCCACAAAACATACGACGTTTCTAAAAAAGGAAGGGAGATCGAGTACACGGGTTTGTATGCCGAAGTAGATGTTGCCTTCAGATTACTGCAGGTCATTTACACTTGTGTAGAGCCCTTCAGAACAAAAGGTGGACAAAAATATTTGCAGGAATACCTTCTGCAATTGATCAACCCTTCAGATCCAAGCTATCCAAAACTGAGTGAAGACTGTCATGGCCGCATCATGACTTTGAAAAACCGAATAGACTCTGTGCTAAACTTACTTGATGACACCTCAACATTCTGCAAGGGAGATCCCACAAATGAGCAACAGAAACTTGATGAGATGAAAGATCGCTTGAAGGAGTACTTCAGAATATACGAAAGATACTATGGAGAACCAAAGCCGATACAACAAAATCGGTATCGAAATCCTAGAAGTCTTGCCGAATCTCGACGTCGGCAAGTCAAGCAAGCCAGTTGTGGTACCTTTCGTGAAATATTTGACCTTGCTCGAAATAAGGGATTGCAGAAGCTCAAAGAATCTTACAAACTGCTGTTAGAGAACTCAGATCAGTACAACTTTTTCGACTTGAAGCATCTTGTTTGCATACACTTGGCGCTCTCCTCAGCTGGGGAGCAATTATTGCCAGCTGATGAGGTGTATCAGCAGTTTGTTCGGCCGTTGAATGCCAAAGATCACCGCAAAACAGACTGCTGGCCACCTTTCTTCATGATGATGTTTCTGTGGCCAATAGAGGATGTTACCTCTGAAAGACGAGATAGCTGTGATTTGACCTTTTACATTGATGAACTAAGAGAGAGATTTTCAGGTGCTGAGAATTTCAGGAAAGGTTTGACTAGCGAAAAGCGACCCCCGCGATTTCAGACAAGAGCACGAACACACTTTTTCTTGGGACAAGGCACAGATCTTCAAGTATTTGCCCATATCAATGAGCTCCACACTACTCCAGGTAAAATCGACGGAGCAGACAGCGAAGATGATTTTTGGTCGTCTGATCTTGTAAGAAGTCGATTAGCTCGCTTGGAAGGAACTTTACTGAATCCTACATCCCTGGTGCACCTCTCTAAGAAGGGAAAAATCAACATCAAACTGGCAGCGCCGTTTAAACGTCAAGTGCCAAGCCAAGAGATCGTCACGTTCTACCTCGGATTCACCTGGGATGGCCCAGTTGCGTATGATATTAAGGTAAAGGGGAAAGAATCTCGTGACGGTACAGCACCACGCTTTCACCAAGCTTACCCAAGTTTGAACGTACCTTCTGAAAAATCCAAGACTTCACTTTCCCGTAAGTTATCCAAGATTGATAAGCTTCGGGAGGAATGCCAAAAGCTGCGAGGCAAACTGGAGGGCGTAAAAGCTTCTTCTAAACACCATGTGAAAGTCAAAACCAAAGAGGTACCGGTAAATATTTTTCTATTATTAATCAGTCTATTTATAACTGGGATTTACTGTATGTCCAGTTCCGCACCATTTCCACCTCTCGACCATCGAACGTTGCTTGACTTGAATGTAGTGCACCTTCGGGTACCAAAGTGATAATCAATTAGCCTTATCTGTGGGACTTCACGAACGGAAATCAGTGAATTCCTTCACTTTTTATATTTGGTAAAGACCTTATGAAACATTTCATTTCTTAATTTATTAATATAACACTGTCAAAAGAGATAGGCACGATACTTGTGTGTAAAAGCATTCGATAGATACACTGATCTTGTATACATTATACTCCATTACACAATGCCAAGCAAGAACATGATTTACTTACATCGTTTGGCAGGGATGTGTTTGGAAACCCACGAAAGACGCGATTCAGTTGTACAAGCGCCAGTTGGAGGAAAAAAACGATGAACTTCGTCGTGCTTTAATGGAAGACACGTCATCAACGGAGGACTTTTAAACTCATCAATGGACAGCTACCTTCAACCACTAGTTGGTTCCGTCTTAATTGCACTTATTGCAAATTCACCAGCCGTCGTGAATTACAAGCTGAAGGTAAAATACATGTAATACAGATCTAAGGCGGAGGTCATGGTGCGGCTCTAACTACTTCATGCGCGAGCGCAAAAAAATTTTTAAAAATCATTCCATCTAAAGTTTTTTTTTACAAGTTGAACATTTTTATTTAGCTTAAAAATATGTTCTGATCATAGACCTTTCTAAAGAATCGGTAGTGTCTGTATTATACCCAAATGTCATTAACAACAGAAATGTATTTGTCTTCCTGTCAGAAAGGGTGCGCTAACCTTACATACCTAGTGTGGACTTGTGAATAAAAGATGTCCACACGATGCAGGAAAGGAAGACGTGTTGTGGACTTACACACGTCCACAGGACGTTTCCCCTTCTCTGAAAAAGAAGGTTAGAGGCATTTTGGGGTGGGGGTCATCCGTCGTAAAAGGAAGAGGAATAGTCAAGGAAAACTTGTACAAAAAGCCAGCTGAAAATCGTGTTCCTAGTTCAAGAAAAATGAGTATTTTCACTGAGTTTTCTTAACTGCAAGAAAAGAAAGGAATGTCCACACTAGGTATGTAAGGTTACCTGGGTGTGTGTGTGTGTCAAATGTGATACTACTTTCAGTCCTTTATTGCTAGTTGAGAAAGACTCGGAAATATAACCTGGCTATATTTCAAAAGAAATTACTGAAAAGATTACTCGAAATGAATGCAGCTTTTTTCTTGTAAAAAAAGTAAAACTAAGAGTGTATACACGTAGTTCTGTCCTCAAAACTGCTAATTATTGAACAATTTTTCGACCGCTTACTTAAATATACAGGTACATGTAATAGGCCTACTTCATCAGTCACTAGTTTATTACTAGAATTACAATGTGACACACCAAAGTTGACAATAATAACATAGTCTTATTGGCTAATAACTAGTTTTTAATTATTTTTAAGTTTTGTAAACACCCACTACTATTGCAGTCACTACTTAAGTACTTTTGAAGGAATGGATTATGCTTCCAGTCGGTTGACTAGTCCTGGTCTGTTCCATTTACATGCATGGAACATTTTTGTGCATGCGTGTGCAGCACTTGATACCTGTAAAATCATATGAGTATCTGTTGCGTATGGAAGTTGTACAATTTATTATAAAATGTTCTGTATTTTTACTGCTGTCATTTTCATTTTTGCCATTGATCATGTTTCAAACATTTATCTACTCCTGACAAAACTGTTTTCATGTGAAACCATTAATGAAACCTTTCATAACTGAAAAAGCAACCCGAAAGCCTTTGTAAAAAGAATATAACCACGGCTGGGCTGTGAACCACAATCGGGCTAAACACAAAAATATGGTGTATTGAACTGAGGAACCATTTGGTCAGTGTGGAGCTTCCTGTTAATTTAAAGACGCTATAAACTACTCAACAAATATGTCTAAAGGGGAATTTTTAAACATCATATCGTTAGCTCTAAAAAATTTTTGTCCATGTGTGTTTATCACAGGTATTTGTGTTCTGTTTATTTTACTTTTATCGTCTTTCTCTTAAAATTATTTTTTAAACCACACTTTCAGACCCTGAAGAAACTTGTTTCCATTTGTGATATATATCTGGAGTGATAGATGTTTATGCTTGCCATCTCACAAAACAAATTACCAAATAACTATCCATATGCTCTGATATCCCCCTAAATGTCTCACAAGTTCATCCCTACTTGAGGTTAAAACCTCTTACCCTCTCTCAGTGTCATTACCAGGTCTTATTTTTGGCGGGAACATGCAAAATTGTTTTTTACAAAACACGCTGGGGGTGACCCGACTTGAATAAGGGCTTTTATTGTGGCTGTGGAGGATATTCGTTTTTCAAAGGGCCGGGAGTTCGACATTTCAACGGGGGAAGCTTTCACGAGAGGCTTGAAGACTAGTCTCCTCTCAAGAACGATTTTCACACACACATGTACAGAGTCACACTCTTTTGCGGGTCTGTTATTCCCGGTCCAGGTAGGTAGGCTAGCTGTTGAACGTAAACTTCCGTATCCTAATGGCAGCTGTTGGTCCTACAATATTTTACTTTATGCATTGAAATCGAAGGTCGCCTTGGCCATAATTCCAGGTGAAATGCAGAATATAACTGTCTTTGACCAATGCAGGCTCTGTGCATGAAACATGCTCTCGGTGGGGATACACTTGCAGTATTGCCCATTGGATAAGTGAAAAGCCTCATTTTTGAGATGTTGCCACTAATGAAATTGAAAACATCCGGGCTCTCAACGTCTGACCCCGGACCATTTATATCCATGGGTGCTTCCTGGCGTAATTTTTTTTTTATCAAGAGTTGTCAGGGAATCTTTGGGTAGGGAACCAGACTAGGCTTTTTATGGAGTGACAGAGGTTTATGCTTCAACTTTACAAAACATATTCCAAATAATCTATGTATTCTTATATCCCCTCGATCTTGAAGACTAAAACCTCTTACTCTCTCCAACAGTGCCGTTACTAAGGACTAATTCTTGGGAGGAGCACACATCATACACTTATTTTAGGAGGCAAAACTCTAGAAAAGTAGTCAATTACAATTTCAAATGGGAGGCTTCAAGGGTGGCATAGTTGACCACAGTTAAGGTGTAGCTGCAATGAATTTTTATTAGACACAATTTTTCTGCTTCTTTGTACTCTTCTTAGTTGTATGAAACTCTTTTACACTCCTATTTGGTTAAATGCATTGAAAATGGCACGTTTTTAACCCTGGGGGCATCGACGCCCCAAAACGAAGACTGTTGTCACCACATGGAGACTCTCGTCATCGGTCAGTTCCCGGTCATTCCTGAACCGGTACGACTGTTTTATGGTAGCTAATACCATCATTCAAGTCCCTGCATTTCTTTATGCTGCTGTGGAAGTACAAGTAATAAAGTCACAAGCGTATTGATAACAACAAAATATAAACGTAATATTAATATACATAAACATAATATAAACACAAAACATAATAACAAAAGTAATAAGTCACAAACATAACAGCCGTGACTAGTCAGCACATGCTTGTAAACAAATGAGCAGCCACGCCCCCAAATCACATCAATTTTCTATGAGGTGATTTTTGTCTCCAGGTCAGTTTCCGGTCATGCCTGAACCTGTACAACCTGTACGACTGTTTTATGGTAGCTAATACGTCCCTGAGGTCCACTCTAACTACATCCCATTATTCTGCTGTGGAAGTACAAGTAAAACCAGGTCACAACCCAAACAGCCGTGACCAGTAAGCACAAGTCTGTAAACAAAGAGATCCAGTTCCTGATAAAGACCATATCGCCTCCTTGGGGTGACTGATCTTTCAAGAATTTTAACTCGGCAGTGTATGGGGTCTGGCCAATGGGTGATTAAGGCTTGTTGGGTATGTCTGGGGTGAGGATTACAAAAAAAATCTCCGCCAAATTGGCCTATTGACGAAAATGTTATGACCATATTCGGTGATATTTGTCGATCTCCATCACCGCGCCGTTGAGCCCAGGGTACAATTAAAATTATCCATGCAACTGAGGGCGCTATTGCTGTGAATGGTTCAGTGCACAGGTGTTTCTGTTCAAATTGGGAACCCAGAATTTACCCACTGAAATCATTTCTGAGAGATATTAATGTTTTCCTATTGCTATGCACATGAACACCAATGAATCAGCTAAGAAGAGAAAACTGAGTCCAGAAAAATATACAAAAGTGCAGGACCTTTTTTGTGTATAGACCAATGTAACATTGAGGATTCTTCCTTTCCTGATATGACATCATAGTTTTGCTCATGAATGTGGGAATCTCATTAGCATAAAACCAAAAAGGCGTTAAAATACCCTTTGAAATAATGAAACAAAAGTTGAAATAATGAAACAGAAGTTGAGAATAAGGTTACCTAACTGAGGCACAAAGGTGCATTTTGGGGGGTTGTGATCACAAAAAAATCTATTGTAGCGACCCTTTCATTCACTTCTCTCCATATGCCTTGGAATTCATACATCAGAGTTCACAATACACTTGTAGAATAGAGGAGCTCGTCAAATGCTAGGCTACCAGTACCATCATGGCTACAGTCTCAAAACACATTTAAAGAANTATTTAAGATAGGCGGATTCCTCCAAGTGATTGCAAGCAACCATCAAAAGTAGGGTTCAGGGGATTTAGTGAACCATGGTTTTTATCGATAGTTTGTCAAACTTAACACGTTTGGAAAGACGTTTATGTAATAATGGCCAATATGGGCACCTCGAAACCGTAATGAAAATCGTGGGCAATCAGCGGTGGGTTGAGGGTGGTTGAGGGGTGTGCGTTTTCGCGCACATCGCAATCACAATACGCGTTTACCGTATCTGCATACATCCAAACACATAAGTCTTGGTTACCAGACCTTCCAGTAGTTATTCCTCGAAAAGAATCATCACACGTACACTGTTAGAGGGCGCTATCACCACAGGAATGGTTATCACAGGAATGTCTTCGATGTTTATTTTCATATCTTATGTTATCATAGTTCAGACACTGGTTGTTCTGCGACAGTCTGTACAAATCTGGCCGCTCGTCGTTGGACTGCTTCCAGCCAATTTTTATGGTTAAAGGAGATATAGATCCAATATGCTGGCGCAGTATTCCAGTTTGGGTCTAACCAAGGTCTGCTGAATGAGCGCAGCTATACAGGTCTCTGCGAAGGAATCCAAGAACCTTGTTCGCCTTTGAAGTTGTGTTGTTTTAATCAGCCCAGTTCTCCCCCCCTCCCCCGATTAGTATGACTTTTGAACATTTTAAGGGGTTTCTTGTTCATACAATAAATTAATTGAAGTGGCTGTAATTGTGAGAAATGCCATGGTGTAGTACTTGGCAGTATTAAACTTCACTTGCCAGCGGGACTCCCATTTGCAGAGGATAACAATATCTTTCTGCAGTCCTTGTTAATCCTTATCGAAGAATATCTAACGGTATAATATGTCATCTGCCAGGATCCTCACTTCTTGTGAAATTCCTTCTGGTAGGTTATTTAGATATAAGATGAAAAACGGCGGCCAGTACAGTATCTTGGAG